CAGCTGCCACTCCCACTCAAGTACAGAGACCCTACATCAAGACCTACAGGCCGATTACTGACTCTGCAGTGCGCCTCTTTGGGCAATGGATAGTTCACTATCCCTGGACTGAAGTACTTAGCGTGGATGACGTGGAAACCAAATGGATAAATTATACCAAGACCACCACGGAAGCTCACCACCACTTCTTCCCCGAGAAGTCCGTCAGATCTCACCCAGCTGACTTGCCCTGGATCACACCTCGGATCAAAAGACTAATGCAACAGAGAGACAGAGCCTTTCATCTCAATGACCACATCCGCTACAGGTCACTTCGCAACAGAGTCATCCGCGAAATACGCACTGCAAAGAAGTCCCACTACCCAACCAAATTACAACACCTGAAGCAGACCAACATCAGTCAATGGTATGGTAAGCTTAAAGAACTCTGTGGACTAAACAATATGACACACCCCCTCCCCTTCCCAGCCATCTCACTAATGTTGACGCAGCTGAGCAAACAAATAACCATTTCGCTACTATATGCCAGACGCTCCCACGGCTTGACACAACCACTCTCCCTGCTTACCTACCAGCCCCCCTTCCCACTGACTTAGTAGAAGAATTTGACGTAGCAAAACGCCTGGACAAACTAAAATTAAAACGCTCTTCCACCCCCATTGACTTACCAATGAAACTATTCAAGGAGTTCTCCCCGGAGCTTGCTAAACCCCTCTGCTCCATCATCAATGCTTCTCTCAGTCAAGCCAGATGCCCAGCTGACTGGAAGACCTCTTATGTATCACCAGTGCCCAAGTCAACCAGCCCACAATCCTTAAATCAGCTACGACCTATTGCAATCACCCCAATACCCAGCCTAATCTGTGAAAGTTTTGTGTTTGACTGGGCTTATGCTGATATTGCAGGAGTCGTAGACCCTCAGCAATTTGGCAACATGAAAACTTCCTCCACCACTCACTGTCTTGTCAGCTTTCTCGATTACATATACCGCCATCTCGAGAAACGAAAAACGTCTGTAGCTGTCGCCTTCATTGATTTCACTAAAGCGTTCGACCTAGTCGACCACAATATAATCATAAACAAAGCTATTGACCTCGGGCTTCGGAGAAGTCTCATACCATGGCTTACAGACTTCCTCAGTGACCGACGCCAAGCTGTACGCTTCCGAGGGGCTGTCTCCACCTTTCAGTCACTCACCTGTGGCGTCCCCCAAGGCACCAAGATGGGACCACTCTGCTTCCTTATGCTCATCAATGATGCCCTAAGAGAAACCCCTGCTCGCTGGAAATATGTCGACGACTCCACCATTGGGATCAGCGTCAACAATTCTGCTCCCAACTATACCGCCCTTCAGGATTTATTGAACAGTCTCCAAAACTGGGCCACCAACAACCATGTCACCATCAACCATACCAAGACCATGGTTATGCACATCAACCTCTCCTCCGACATTGTCCCACCTCCTTCCATTACCCTAGGTCCGAACACACTCCAGGTTGTAGATTCCACGAAGCTCCTCGGCGTCACCATAGACAACAAACTAAATTGGAAACCACACGTCAGTGAAGTTGTCAAATCCTCCAGTTTCCGTCTCCACCTCCTCCGCCGACTCAAGTCCCTCGGAGTTCCTGCACACGAGCTCCTCAGTGTATACACAACATTCATACTTCCCAAGCTCACCTATGCCTCCCCCACCTGGTCTTCCTCCCTAAATGCCACACAACGTAAACACCTAGAAAAAGTGCAAAAGAGGGCATGCAAGATTATTCTCTCCCCTTCCTACTCCACATATCAAGAAGCGCTCAACACACTGACCCTTTCGACTCTCACTGACCATCACCACGGCCTCATCTGCAAATTTGGTAAGAAGCTTCTACACCATCCCCGACACCGGCCCCTACTACCACCTGAGATCCCCTGTCCGAGAATTGCTGTTCGACACCACAACCGCATCCAGCCCATACGTGCACGAACTGATCGCTATAAGAACAGCCCAGTCCCAACCATTGTAAAAATTATCAATAACATGTAATAAATCAGTGTATTCACTCCCAGTAAACACTGCTCCCTACACTGTCACTATGTTGAAATGAACTGTAGTTTGAGCTGATCCCCATCTAAGTTATTATATGTCTTATTTATGTCACTTATGTCACTTGTATATTATTTGTAACTCGTAACCCATTCCCCAAATATGTAACTGTATATTTTCAGCCTTCTGGCTGCCAAGCTCTTTCAATAAACCGTTACACACACACACACACACACACACACACACACACACACACACACACACACACACACACACACACACACACACACACACACACACACACACACACACACACACACACACACACACACACACACACACACACACACACACACACACACACACACACACACACACACACACACACACACACACACACACACACACACACACACACACACACACACACACACACACACACACACACACACACACACACACACACACACACACACACACACACACACACACACACACACACACACACACACACACACACACACACACACACACACACACACACACACACACACACACACACACACACACACACACACACACACACACACACACACACACACACACACACACACACACACACACACACACACACACACACACACACACACACACACACACACACACACACACACACACACACACACACACACACACACACACACACACACACACACACACACACACACACACACACACACACACACACACACACACACACACACACACACACACACACACACACACACACACACACACACACACACACACACACACACACACACACACACACACACACACACACACACACACACACACACACACACACACACACACACACACACACACACACACACACACACACACACACACACACACACACACACACACACACACACACACACACACACACACACACACACACACACACACACACACACACACACACACACACACACACACACACACACACACACACACACACACCACACACACACACACACACACACACACACACACACACACACACACACACACACAGACCCCTCGTTTAACGAACACCTCGGTTAACGTAATTTCGATTAACGAACTTCCTTCCATAAGGATCTTCAATTTGGTTAACGAAAAAAAATTCGTTTAACGAAGTTCTTACGAACCGACCTCAACATGTTTTCGCTTGCACTGACCGGGCAACCAGCTTTAGTATCAGTCCGCCAATACATTAATCGGTTCTAGGACTTAAATTCCTTACTATTTTAGTAAATATCAAGAAGTTTATACTATTCAATAATTTTAAGTTTAATATTCAATTTTTTAGTCATTTTAACAATTATTGAACATAACTGAAGGTAAAGTGACTAGTTTAATGCGCGGCATCCAGCCTCTTAACACAGCAAACAGGAGTTAGTCTCTCTCTGTTTTCACTGGAGGTAACATCTTGCTTGAGACTCTCTTCAACTAAATGCTTTTTTTCTGTGTTTCCAAGCAAATTATTGGTCATTTTGAAATATATTTTACATATTGACAATATATAATGCAGTGCAGTGTTGATTTAAAGAAAATAATCTTGAATTACACCAAGAGAGCTAAAATTTTATGGGTGAAATGGCGCCATGGGGTGACTTCTCTTCCACCCCAATGCCTTCTCTTTTTCCTTCTCCTCCACCCCCATTCTAAATCCCATCATCATCATCATCATCATCCAGGAGCCTTCTACATACACACCTCAAAGTAAGTGAACTTTTCTACCATTTTTGTTGAATTTAGGAAATTTTCGGTGAGCTGGAACCAATTACCCAAAAACCCATTGAAACAATGGTTTCGGTTAACTAACTTTTCGGTTAACGAACGACCTTCTGGAACGGATTGAGTTCGTTAACGGAGGGGTCACTGTATATATATATATATTATATTATATTATATTAATAATAACAATAATAATAATAATAATAATAATAATAAAATAAATAAATATTGAGGTGATAACCGTGGTAACATTATGAGATGTTCTAATTATCACCATGTTATTGTACTATTCCGGATGATACTAAATGTTACATTATATTTCCTTGAGATAAATGTATAGTATATATCAGGTGCAGCTCAGGTTCTCAACTGGCTCAGCCATGTTAATATTGTTATTATTATCTACTCTGTATCTGTGTTTTTCTGGCTAATAAACTGTTTCACTTCAATTCAATGACCACCTCTAGTGGGTGGCCATTAGGTTAATTTGAGTCAAGTTTAAGCAATAACTAATCTTGACATTTGTTTTTTATACCTGATGTTACACAACTGCTTGTATACTTAACACTAACACTTTTACACTAAAACACATTCAAATATTTATACAAAACACACACACACTTTTAAACAAACACAAGTGCATATAAACACACACTTTCAGAGGAATACACTATTGTGTATTTTTAATCTAGATTCTTAAACAGCATATAAAAGAGCATCTTTGTATGAAATTTAAACAAAATCTATGCCATGCCCTCATGTACTCAAACACAAGATAAGGGGTCAGCAATTTTGATTGGGAATACTGTTACTGGATGTTTTCTTTTCTGGAAAGTGAACGATAAAATGCTTAAATTATAAAGTTAGCCGATATTCTTGAGAAAAGGCATATAAAGAGGATTTATAATTTACGGGCACAGCGTAATTTATGTTTTAAATACTACAGTACAGTGGGGTATGCTATAACGAATCTAATTGGTTCTAGAACCTTGTTCGTTATAGCATTCGTTCGTTATATGATTAATCCGTTCCAGGCCCCCAAATACAACCACTTAACACTGAAAAATATAATATAAAATTGTAAAAATTGTAAAAAAGTGCATAAATATGCATCTAAACCCCTGAAATAAAGAATATCATTAATATTTGTAATAAAAAAACAATAAATTAGGGAAAAAAAAAATTAAATAATGTTCGTTGTAGGAGTTTCGTTCGTTATAGCATTCTCAATTTTATAGGTAAAACCGTTCGTTATAGGAATATTCGTAGTATGATCCGTTCGTTTTAGCATACCTCACTGTACTGTACAGTACATGAACACAAGCATTAGACAACATGATGTTAAGTAACAGAATACCTGTATAAGTCTCACCTCCCACAGGTCAGAGGTGTTTCATCAGTTGCTGTTGATGGCATCACAAATGAGCCTGTCCCACAGGTCAGAGGTGTTTCATCAGTTTGTATAGTCGAGTCTTAGCTTGTCATACCGAGATGTGTTGTTGGTCCTTGAAACTTCCTGGAAATAAGATAAATAACTATACGTACTGTATAATACACAACACTGCACTGTAAAACTATTATATTATAGGCAGGGGTTATTTGACCAGCATCCAGCTTAATAACCACAGGTTATTTGACTGGGATTTAAAATAAAACGGTACTTTTGGCCACAGAAAATTATAATATTTTTACTACAATGTACAGTATTGTGTCGGCGATAGCCAAAAAAAGGGTAGTCTGGTGGTCGGCCCAGTCTCTATTTCAATTAATCCATATGTTCTGGTATTATATTTACGCGTTTCGCTTTATACGCGGACCTCCACGGGTTTAATTAACAGCGTAAAACCAGACTATACTGTATATATTTTTTCTCTATCTATGATCATAAATTGCCAATAGTAGGCAGGGCATGAAAGATGAGTAAAAGCCCATGCACTGTTACAAGATAACCCCTTAAATCAAGTTACTTCAAACGTTCATAACCAAAGCATCAGCAGGTGTTCAGTTTTCTGGGTTAGGCAGTATAGTACTGCCACTAAGGCAACAATGAAGAACAGATTTCATAGACAGCCATGGTCAGCTATACAAGAGGAGGAAGGGTGTGACGATACATTCCTGTGCAGAAACTAGAGTCTTGTAAAAATTTATGACTTCTGTGTCAATTATTTTGATAAATGTTTAGACCAGTTAGTAACAGAGAGCGTTCACAGTCTACAGCACCAAAATCAATTCCAAGAAGTTCTTCTAAAAGTAAAAAAAATTAGTAACAACTTCAACTGTCAGGGCTGAAATGGACAGATACCTGACATTACAGTTGATGGAATCCTTTAGACGAGTTGAAAACCATTAAGAACACATTTGCAATATTCCTTACAAACAAACATCTTTCTTCTCCACCTTCATCAGTGGAAAGTGAAATATTATTCATCAATGATGGTGGTAATTGTAATTGTTTGAAATATTTAATTCCAACCTAGGCTTGTGTGTTGAAAGGTCCAAGAAAATGTAGCTGTGTAATCATATTAAAAGCTACTGGTAGTCCACTACTGTACAGTATATTGCATTCTTCAATAATTAGCCAACATGGAATACAGTCTCTCCCCGACTTACGACGGGATTAAGGACCCAATTCCAGATCTTAAGTGAAATTAGTCAGAAGTAGAAAATGCAAAAATAATGCATAGAAAATCTAAAATGGGTCTCTCTTTTTGTTCTCAGCACCAGAAAACTCTCACTTTTAAGCATGCCAGCCATTTAAATGGAATTACAAACGAAAATTTTGTCAGTACACAGCGCAATCACTAGCGTCGGGACTCGAAAATACGTAATTTGAAAAATTTTTGGTACGACTGGGGCGGTCGTATGTCCAGGTGGTCGTAAGTCGGGTAGGTTGTAAGTCGAGGAGTGGCTGTACTCAGATAATAATTATTGTACCTATATGTGTGTAGTTTAATAATTTATGAATTGATTTATGCATAAATTAATGTTGTGAGCTGAATTATAATGAATAAAGTTAGTGTTCGCTTGTATAACTGGTTTTATTTTCAAATGGTTTCATTACACAAATTACTCTATGAACCTGACAACAGGCCGGCAGATAACTTGAGAGTTGATAAACAACAACCCGCAAAAGACGCCACAAATAAATCAAGTACAAGAACATACACCTCACTTATTAAACAATACTACTTGAAAGAAATTGGAAATGTATCAAAACCCACATTACGGGATTCCATTCCAACAATATGATTCTCATCATGTATACTGTTCACAGAATAGGTTTAAGATCCTATTGTACCTAAAGAACAAAAAGGATTTACACAGACAATAGGCTCATGAATCTGGACAGTGATGTTTATAAGAACATGTGTTTGGAAGACTGTTGATGGCCAAATAACCATCGGCTATTTGACCATGCCAGCTGGCCAAATAACTATCGGTTATTTGACTGGGACCAGCTTGGATTGTTCATAATATTACTATTACACCCACCTCTCGTTTTACGCAGGGGTTACGTTCTTGAAAACCACCGCTTAATTAAAAAATGCGTAAATTTAAAAAAATTTCCCCATAAGAATAGTAAATGGTACAAGTTAGGAGAACCATCATATACCACACAGGGTAAAAACAGTGCTCTCACTTAAACCAAGCACGCGGCCAACTTCTGACACGCTCTCCACTCTGAAGGCTGGTGATCACAATTAATTTCACGTCCATTGCGATTGTTTTTCGTGCCTTTCTAGCTTAAGGCACCCCAGAGGAGACAGATGAACGTTTTCCAGACATGTTCAATGGGGAAAACAGCGTTTAAAACTAAAAATGTACGTGATAAACACACAATACAGAAAAAATGTAGTGTTGGTGTGAACTGTGAAAGTGATATGCGCGAAACTTGCTGGACTAGTCATTACACTATTATTTAAACGTTGAGTATTTATCACTATCTTCTTTAATTATCTTCTGATACTCCGAAATTTCCCGCCTCTCTCATAGACATATAATAATGTAGGTCGGGTTGGGTTAGGTAAGGTCAGATCACATATTTTTTTAGGCCTATACAGCACCATAACTGTTATACTTTGAGGTGTTGGTTTTCTTAACAAATTGATTTATAATTTAATCTCATCTTACCTTCCTTGTATCCTTAATTTTGTATGTAGTATCATTACAGTATTATTTCTATTTGATCGATCTCTGTTTTATAACAGTTTGAAATTGACAATAAAATATTATGTAGAATTTTCCGAGACCAGAAGTACTTAGTATTATTTCAGAACCCTTCGAGACATTTGGTCATGTATGAGAACACCGCTGCCACCAGAAGGAGTTGTTCAGTTTTTCCACAGATGTTCTTATCACTATAGTACGTAGGTAAAACTTCAGTTTGTCATCCCTATGTTTTTCTGATAGTTTTGAAGTGTTTCGAATGTTTTTGATCTCACCTAACCTAACCAAATAACCCAGGAACTATATCTTACCTAACCTAAATTCCTAAGACGACAAAATCTTAAATAATACCAGTCCGTATTTTAAAAACGGCGACATTTACTAGAACCTAATAGAACGTGACCTAACCGACCAAAGATACCTACCTAACCTTATCTGACTGCCTGGCTGGCCCCCACCGCCATATTAAACAAGGTACAGTTCTTATTTTATATCTGCTACCACTGAAAATATCATTGTTGAAACATCATGGTGAATTTTATATTTTTTGAGGATGTGAGCGTATACTTCAACTGAGCGGGTCGGCTGTAAACAGAGGCACACAGTAACTCGGCAGATTTGTTCGGAATATGAATTACAGTAAATAATTAATTCCTTCATGTACAAAGCACCTAGAGATATTATAGTGTCATATGATCAGTTTTATACCGTGTTTTACCCCACAATTTACCTCGTCCTTTACACCCTGCCCACGACAGGTGCTATATGATTATAGATAATAAAAAAATAAATAAATAAATACAAAAATATGGTAAAAATTTATTTTATCCATAATGTCAGAAATACCTATTGGGATAAAAACGAATATTAACCAAAAAACTTATAATTAAAATAAAAAGTTTTTGTCTCCTTTAAAATACTATCATAATAACATCTGTGGCAGCGGTGTTCTCATAAATTACCAGATATTGTTTCAACGATACTTATAATTTATTAGTTATTTAAATAATATTAGTAATATCAATAGGTAAATCCAAACGTACACATTAGATCACACACAAACATATTAAATAATTATTCATATGGTATAATAATGCAGATGCAATACATATCAAAATTATACATAACCCACAGTAAAACAGTTAATGGCTATATGACCGGTTAGCAGTCAAACAGCCCCTGCCTACTGTTAACCCCCCCCCATATAAGGCTCTCTATCTTACACCACCATAATCCCTGGCCATAACTCCACCATATTAATACACAGTTAAATCCTGACAATACAATATTACAGCAATACAAAACCAAATTTCCTCAAGACACATTCGCCATGTTTACAAGCGAGTGTAAAGACTGAAATTTATATATGAAATTACCTAAAGTGATTAAATTACACTAAAATATAAATAATTATCATAAATGGTATATATTTTGTTGTTTATTTACATATATGGATATTAAAGAAGGAAGAATATCAAAGGAAATGTTGAAATAACTTCTCACCTCCGTCCACGCCGCCATTGTGTTAGCTGCTGGCTGACTTGGGAAGACGTCCGACAAAACAAAAAATGCTGAAGAATTACCACGAACAAAACCGCTAAATAGTTTTTTTTCTTGCTTGAACATAGATGATATTAACCAATAAAACCATATTTAATGTACTTAAGAACTCTTTTACGATCACTAAATTAGTTTGAATTAGTATAGGTTAATTTTACTTGTGTCTTACGAAGAAAAATAGATGATACAGAAATAATGTTCGTAGTATAATTTTAACATTATGACTAATCTGATTCTATACCTTCGCTTCAATTTCACCTATTCTTCAACTACTCAAAAAACACCTCTAACACCTGTATTTTAATAAAGTATTGCTGTATTACCTTGATGAAAACAACAAATTCCAGAAGTAATAACATAACTGGGTCATCAGGCCAAATTCTTTTACTCACAACCTGTCCTTTTAAACTTGGTGTTGTCTTCGAGGGATTTAATTGTACTCATAATGATTCCAGGTGACTCATAGGAAAGCCTGAGGAAATCCCCTAGGAAAGTCCCAAAGAAACCCCCCAGGAATGCCCCGAAGAAAGCCCCAGGAAAGCCCCGAGGAGAGCCCCAAGATAGCTCTGATGAAAGCCCCGAGGAAAGTGCCAGGAACTCCCCCGAAAAGCCCCGAGGAGAGCTCCAGGAAAGCCCCAAAGAAAACTCCAGGAATGCCCCGAGGAAAGTCCCAGTAAAGCCCCAGAAAACCCCCAGGAAAGCCCAGAGGAAAGCCCCAAGAAAGCCCTGATGAAAGGCACGAATGTTATAAAGAAATGAACGTGTGTAATAAAGTACAGTAATGTACTTTTGATATAAGCAAGAGAAACGGATTGAGATCTTAGTTTAATTATTGATACAATTTCGTTATTACAAGTAATATTCAAATAAATAAAGTCGTTTTAAGAGAATAACTAATTGCATTTCACCTAGAATTATATGAATTATCAGAAAATTTCTTACATTTCATTCAAGAACTAATTAGATAAATAGGTTAACTAAGGAACTAAATTTGTAAATAAATGATGAAAACAAATAAGAATAAATAGAATTACAACAACAACTATGTGAATTAGAGAAAAATAAATGAAGAAACGAGTGAATGGTAGGTGTATAAAAGTGTATGAAGGATAAACAGATAATGAAACAGCTTTTGGAAGGAGAATGAAGAGAATGAGGTACAGTACATGATGACGAAGAGAGTTTCAACGTAAAGCTGTCATGGTTGGAAAGAAAGTGGGAAAAATGCAATATTGAAGAAGTAAAAGGACGAAAAAGAATAGATATTGAAAAAGTGGTTAGAAGGAATTAAAAAAAAGGAGAATGTTAAAAAGGGTAGATGAAGGAAATTGATAAAATTGAATTAGGAGTAAGGAACTTGGAAAAAAAGGTAGTACAGTAAGTCCGCGCTTAACGTTGATTCGGTACTGCGTAGCTAAACTTTAGAGACCAAAAATTAGTCACAGTCTACTTTCTACGATGCATCACCCACTCTCGTCTGGCTGCGCTATGCTTGCTGTGGTCGGCATGTCCCCCCCCCCTTTTGATATTCCAGGATCTGCCTCTGAAATTAATAAATACAATATTAAAAAGTAGCTTCTGTGGCTGAGAAAGGCATCTTATTGTCTTGGTGGTGAGGGCGGGCGTCGGGCGGGCGTCGGGCGGGCGTCAGAGCGTCAGGCGGGCGTCGGGCGGGCGTCGGGCGGGCGTCAGGGCGGGCGTCGGTGGGCGTCGGTCGGGCGTCAGGTGGGCGTCAGCGGGCGTCGGGCGGGCGTCGGGCAGGCGTCGGGCGGGCGTCAGGAGGGCGTCAGGGGGCGTCAGGCGGGCGTAGGGCGGGCGTCAGGGAGGGCGTCAGGGAGGCGTCAGGGAGGCGTCAGGTGGGCGTCAGGAGGGCGTTGGGCGGCGTCAGGAGGGCGTCAGGCGGGCGTCGGGCGGCGTCAGGGGGCGTTGGGTGGGCGTCAGGAGGGCGTTGGGCGGGCGTCAGGAGGGCGTCGGGCGGGCGTCGGGCGGCGTCAGGGGAGGCGTCGGGCGGGCGTCAGGAGGAGGCGTCAGGGAGGCGTCGGGTGAGGTCGGGCGGGCGTCGGGCGGGCGTCAGGTGGTCGGTCGTCAGGTGGGCGTCGGGCAGGCGTCAGGAGGAGCGCCAGGCGGAGCGTCAGGCAGGCGTCAGGCGGGCGTCGGGCGGGCGTCAGGCGGGCGTCAGGCGGGCGTCGGCGGCGTCGGGCAGGCGTCGGGCAGGCGTCGGGTTTTCATAACGAGCGAGTTACCGATGTTTTTGATGCCAGGTGTCGGGACCTGGATCTGATTCGATATGTGGAGTGAATCAGGAATGGCAACACCTGGTGCAGCTCGCCGGGTGACTGCCCAGTGAGGGAAGACGCGCCCATGTACAAGATCTACGTCAGAGGACAATATATGCTTGTTATGGTTCTCCATGATAGGTTATATGGGAACTCTTAAAGGGGCTTTGTCAACCGGCCGGGTCGGGGATAAACCGGTCAATAAGAGTATTTAACCGGGAACTAAATATTATCTCGAAAACTGACGAACACCAGATAAAGGTTAGACCCCCCTCCACTTCTCCTCGCCTCCTCCACTTCTCCTCACCTCCTCCACCTCCTCCATCATCAGCTGCCACACACCACAAAATATGTAAATCTCTGTGTGAGGTGCGACGCTTCACAACACTCAGGTATCTTGTGTTGTTCCTCATAATGTGTAAAACTGTTCCACTAGACACCGACGATGACGGCGAGTAATGATGGGATCAGCGGCGGTGATATTGGCAAGAGGAGGGGGGAGGTGTGGAGGGGGGATGGTATGAGAGGGAAGGGGGAGTAAGGGGAAAATGGCAAGAGAGGGAGGTGGAGGAGGGGTAGGATGGTAAGAGAGGAAGGTAGGGTAGGGGAGAAGGGGGAGGTAGAATAGGAGAGGGAGAGAAAGAAAAGGAATAAGGGAAGAAGAAGGATAAGCAGGAAAAGGAGAAAGATATAGGAAGAGTGGAAGAAAGGGAAGAAGGAAAGTATGAAGAGGAAGAGGAAGAGGAAGGAGAGGAGAATTAGGGGTAAGATGAAGAACAAAAGGAGGAGAAGAAGGAATAAGTAGAGTAAAGAACACGGGTAAGGTTCTGGGTCTCTAAACATCTACACCAAACATTATTATCAGAGTGATGGTCGACTTTCTTCCCAGGAATAATTAAACACAAATGTTATGGTTAAGAGAGAGATTTGTGTGTTATTTTGGTCACTCTCTTTGTATGGTAGCCTAAGTAGTCCCCGTTAGTGTAGTCTTGTGTGTGTGTGTGTGTGTGTGTGTGTGTGTGTGTGTGTGTGTGTGTGTGTGTGTTGGATTATCATACAAGTTCACATTGATTCAGTATGCATACATAGATAGTGCAGGTATATAGTGTACATAGATGGTGTAGTATACAAACAATGTACACATAACATATACATACAATTGAAAACAATAAGTCGATTCATCCACCAAAGAGAAAGAGATATTGTCTATAGCTGAGAGTTAGAGAAAGATATATAGTCTATGATTAAAAGAACAAACAAAATTAATCACAAACTTATCAAATATTAAAAAAAATTAATAATAAAATAAAATAAATTATTTTAAACAAGAACAATACATATAATAAACACATATCCGGTAAATAAATTAGAAACTATAAAAAAAAATATATAATATAAAAAAATATCAGGGTTATAAAAAATATTCCCCCCGTATGATCCTATATTAATTTTGATAAGCTTTCATTGGTCCCAGCTTGATGATATGAGTTCACGTTAATCCTGTACGACGAGCCTTGTTATAATTTACGGATCAGCTTGAATTTTGATGAGAGATAATGAGGGTATGAAAACTCCAGTGTATGCAAATGGGAACCTGAAAATTTGGGGTAAACCGAAGGAAATGTGTGTGTGTGTGTGTGTGTGTGTGTGTGTGTGTGTGTGTGTGTGTGTGTGTGTGTGTGTGTGTGTGTGTGTGTGTGTGTGTGGAGATTTATTTTAGTTTGATAGGGTGTTTGTGAGTGAAAGAGTGAAAGAAAGAAAGAAAGAAAGAAAGAAAGAAAGAAAGAAAGAAAGAAAGAAAGAAAGTTTGGGAAAGAGAAATTAAGAAAATATGAGAGAGAAAGGTGAGAGCAAGAATCATATTCAGATGGAGAATGTGAGGCGGAAGGGGACGCCAGGCACTGCTGATTGCTCGTGCTGGCGCTGTGTTTTATGTATACGAGGTGAAGAACTTGAGCATTACACTAAAACTCTCAGCATAAAAATATTATATAGAGATGGTGGTGTCAGTATAACGCGCCAGTCAGTATAACGTAGGCCAGTCAGTATAACACGCCAGTCAGTATAACACGCCAGTCAGTATAACGTAGGCCAGTCAGTATAACGTGCCAGTCAGTATCGCCCACGCCAGTGGTACAACGGGCCCGGTGGCTCGCGACCAGTCGGTATAACGCGCCAGTCGGTATAACGTGAGCCAGTCGGTATAACACGCCAGTCGGTATAACACGCCAGTCGGTATAACGTGAAGCCAGTCGGTATAACACGCCGGTCAGTATAACGCCAGTCAGTATAACGTAGGCCAGTCGGTATAACACGCCGGTCAAATGTAACACGCCAGTCAGTATAACGTAGGCCAGTCAGTATAACGTACCAGTCAGTATAACGCGCCAGTCAGTATAACGTAGGCCAGTCAGTATAACACACGCCAGTCAGTATAACACGCCAGTCAGTATAACGTGCCAGTCAGTATAACGTGCCAGTCAGTATAACGTGCCAGTCAGTATAACGTAGGCCAGTCAGTATAACGTGCCAGTCAGTATAACACGCCAGTCAGTATAACACGGGTGTGAGAGTCTTACGGGAGCAGCTTGGGTGACGCTCGCAGATCAGACAGCTGTGTTGTGTACATAATGCCCGAACCTCCATGATGGCGACCCCGTGTTGTGGTATAACGTTATAGTAAAGTGTTATAGTTATAGGTCTTCCCTGGACACACATCCACAACACAGTCGAGAACAAGTGTCGCCGATGCTGGATTTGTTTACACACTGTAGGGTTATGAGATATTGGTTCACACTCAGGATGGGATGGAGAAAGGAAGCTCATAATGTGCTCACTGTATACATTATATTGGATGTACAATGCAGCTTGTTGCTGGGTAGGTAGCATGGTAATAAGCGTTGAGTAGAGAGAGCTGGGTGGTGAGGGTGCCGAGAGGAGGGACACGCGGCTTGAGGGACCCCAGGGTCGCTGGCGGGAGCGGCAGCCGCACGACTGGTGCGGAGGAGGAGGTGTTGCTTGCTGGTGGCACTGGGTAGAAAGAGGCTGGTCACATTGGTGTCAGGTCTTATAAGGCGGGGGTAGGCGTGGGTAGATAGTTGACCCCCGCTCCGTAGGCTGCGCTGGAGGCATAGGCTGGGGAATTCGAGGTGCTTGTAGGGGAGGAATCCACTACAACACCACAACCTGTCTGAAACGTCGCCATAACAAATGAAAATACATAATCTCTACATTTTTCGATATAGTCTTCGAAAAATAAGTCGTATTTTATGCACATACGTAGACCAATGACATGACTCAACCTAATCTAACTTAACCTAACAATATATAAAGGAAGATATTAATTCTTTATAGACGTCGTTGGGGAGAACACCACAATATTATACGTTGTGGTGTCGGGCAGATGAGATATATACTGTATAGTCAGCAATGTCGACCTGAACGAGGGAGGGGATATATTTATTATAAGACGCGAGTTTTTTTTCGCATCGATTGACACTCCACTGTTGGGGGGGGGGACTTTATTACGATGTCAGAGTTAGTGTTCGCTGCTAAGAAGAGAGTGAAAGAGAAGGAGGAAATGAGACGAAAAGGGGGGAATAGGAGACGAAAAGGAGGGTGAGAGACGAAA